GCAGCCGGGGAGGAGCCGCCCTGGTGGCCGCGGGCCCCGCGCGCGGGTGCTGCCGGGGGGGCGACGCCCCGGGGCTGCCGCAGGCTCCCCGCACCCAAAACCCGCTGCAAGGGAGAAAGACGCCCGGGGGCCCCAGGGACGGCTGCCAACGGGCTTCATCGTGTCACTGCTGCTTTCCCCGTGCCTGCCCGGCTCCTACCGGCCCCACACGGGAAGGGGCCGGGGCCAGACTTGACAGACTAGCCAGGATCTTACCTGGCAGGGGAAACACCGTGTATCTGGGTCCATGACGGCAGCTCTTCTTACTCGTTCCCGGGGATAGCTGATCTTCCGGCGTGGTTCAGCACCCGCCGAGGGGTTGGGACTTAATGCCCGTTTTATGGAAATGGGAGGCTCCTCCCTAGCTTGCTCCTGCAACCATATGGCTGAGGGCCGGCGAAACTTGGGGGCATCTGACCCCCAAGCCTGCACATAGGATGCCTGCCAAAAGACTTTGGAAATATCTGAAGCCCCTGATGGGGCTGGAGGACGTTTGCCGGTTGTAGGGCCACGTATGGTTCTGGGCTGACTCTCAGATTTGGACTTGATTTGGCTCGAAACAGGAAAAATGTCTTTAAAAAAAATAGAAAAAAAGACTAGTCATGATCTTTCCAGCTCGTGTGTGTAACCTTTCCTGGCTGGGGGGAAGGTATGTCCAGTCCCCCTGCCCCCTCCCACAGTTCCCCTGCCCTGGCCATGGTTACGTGCCCAGCATAGCACCCAGGGCTTTCTCACGAGCCCTGTCATCTCAGCGGTGTCACAGTGAAGCCTGTTTCTGCTCTTCCCAAGGGACTGCCATCTTTCTTTCTGGCTGTCTGGTGGGGGCTGCATAACACGGTGCTGTTAATACGGAGGGCCTTTTGCAAAGGCTTGGCCTTAGGACAGGTCTATAATTTGGATAGCTTTCACTGTGTTTCATTTTCAAGGAGTTTAATAGGCATAGAACCATAAGTTCCTCTAGTCTGGTCTTCCTGTACATCGTGGGGCGAGGCAATTGTGTCAGATTTCAAGGCTAAATTTGTCTAACATCAAATTGCAGAGACTGCTTTGCTTTGCTTTTGTCAACAATGATGAAATGTCCTTCCTTGCTAGGTATGATTTCCAAGTGAAAGTACCTGAAAGTGATCAAGTATCCTCTCAAACCCTCTCTTCAAAAAACTGGGTAAGTTAAGCTTCCTAAGCATCATATCATAAAGCTTGTTTTCCAGTGCTTGGATCACTTTTGTGGCCTTCCTTTGAACTCTCTCTAGTATTTCCACATCCTTGGAAGTGTGGACATCAGAACTGGGCATCATATTACCAATGCTGTGCACAGAGACAAGATAATTTCCCCACTTTTGCTTAACAGTCCCCTCATCAGACATCCCTCGATTAGCCCATTTTGCTCCAGTGTTGCATTCCAGAGGTGATTTTAAATTATTTCAGTAGAGCATTCCAGATATGAAAAGAGGAGTGAGATTGGCACAACAGAAACCCTTATTACGGTAATTCTAGTAGTCCATACTTGTAAGTTTTTTTTCATTGACTTCAAAGTCTGCATTAGGAATATTCAGGCTTGAAACATGCAGGGAATATTATGAATAAATGGACAAATATAATGTGACTCTAGCTATTTATGTCCCCAGGCAGCTGCAAGCCTTCTATATCATTTCCCTCCCATGAATAGAAATATGTTCACACCCAGTATTGCCAACCCAAGGCATTCAAAAATCATTAGTTAGGACCTAAATATCCTGATACTGGCTTAAAAAATAATGAGATTTAAAATATAATAATCAACTGAAGGGTTTTTACATTTAACTTTTGGTTTCTGAGCCTTTAGGATGCCCTTGGGTCACATATTCAATATTTTGTGAAGACTAGAAATATACTTTTTTTTTAAAAAGGAAAGCTGCAGGCGCTAGTGTTTTAGGTTGAATGCCAAATCCCACAAAACTCATGGTAAAACTGTAAGAGTGTGCAACACTTGTGACAACACCTTTGTTTTGAATAATTTATCATGAAAATCCTAATCCAGCAAAGCACCTGACCTACTAGTATTACTCACTGTTCTTATATTAAGCATATACTTACGTGCTTTGTAGAATGTGGCTGAAAAGCAGAAAAATTCTGAGTTTCCTATGTACACCAAGGTTCCAGTGTTGTCAGGATAAGAGCCAAAAATGCAGAGAACTGAAAAATATTTTATAACAAAAGCTTTAGCGCTGGTGTAAATTCATAGCAACTTTGGTGGAGTTATTTTAGATTTACACTGGTACAAAAAAAATAAATTGGTCCCCCTGGAGAATAAATTTAGTAGAATGACTTGTATCCATAGGGAAAATACTCTCACTCTGTGGGTATCATAATTCTTAGAATATTGGGTCATTGAAAATGCCTAGGTAAACACAGGCAGACAAGGTTCCTTGGGTGAATCTGATATCTTTTATTAGACCAACCCAAATGGTTGGAGAATAGTTATTAAGCAAGCTTTCGGGTTCAAAAACCCTTCGTCAGGCTAAGGAAGTTTCAGCAGTTGGTGTGTGCTCTTCCTGGATGGAATAAAAAGTAAAGAAGCCAGTGGCTAGGCAGGTATGCATACAAGACAGGTAGTCAGTGAAAATGTAGATTGAGGAGTCAGTAGCTAAACACTGTTTCAAGGAGAGAGCTGTAGTTTCTGATTCCCTTTTCCACTTCTCTTTCTTCTTTAATCTTTCACCCTCCCATGTGCCTCCCCTTCCCCTCTCCTTCCCTTCCATTTTTGCCTTTTCCCTTCCCCTCCCTTCTCCTATTCCTTGGGAGTAAGGCTTACAAAGAACCAGTTGAACACAGGATAGAGCCATCAGGGACAGATAGCTTCAGTACTTAAAAACTGCCATTTACTGAGTCAAACCATAGGTCCCTCTTGCCCAGTCTTCTATGGCCACATGGGGGTGCCGGCACTTCCCCTGGCCACTTCTGCTGGGCAGGAGCTGCACTGATCCTCTCTCCCCTGTGGAGTCCGCTGTTCTGCCTTGCTCCCCTGGAGAGGGCTCCTGCAGTGGCTGCCCATGGGGTCAGCCCCCTGCCTGCTCTACCTGAGCTGGCCCCTAGACTGCCGCTACTGCTGCTGTTCCCCCCACCCCTGCTTGGGGAGGGGGCTACCTGTCTTCACACCTGTTCCTGATTCCAGCACCCATCTCAACTCCTGGTTCCTGCTCCTGGTGCTGAGCTGACCGGCTGCTGTGCAGACTGAGAGGAACCCACACTACCAGTGGGACCCAAATGCTACCCATGCCAGGTAGCCGAGGAGACCCCGCAGCACCAGCACCCGCCCTTCCAATGCTCCGGCTGCCTCAGCAGCACCCCCTGTCTTTATCCCTTATAGAATCATAGAAAGTTAGAGTTGGAAGGGACCTCAGGAGGTCATCTAGTCCGACCCCCTGCTCAAAACAGGACCATCCCCAGCTAGACCATCCCTGCCAAAGCTTTGTCTAGCCAGGTCTTAAAACCTCCAAGGATGGAGATTCTACCACCTCTCCTGTTAACATGTTCCAGTGTTTTACTACCCTCCTAGTAAGAAAATTCTTTCTAATATCTAACCCAGGGGTTTTCAACCTTTTTTAATAAGTGTACCACCTGTGTCAAAGCTTCACCTGTTGTACACCTTTATATTTTTTTCTTGCTTTTAAGGGGTGGGGGGAGGGGTGTAGATCGAGGCCCTGCAGTGGGGAGGGAGTGGGGCAGGGGCAGGTGCTGCTCAGCTCAGGTGGGACGCAGGATGGAGCCACAAGCAGCTCATCTGGAGGGCGGGAAGGAGGGCAGCTCCTGCTGCTGCATGTTTCCTGGGAGGGCATGGGGGCATGTGCCCCCAGATCTGTGTGTGGGGTATGGGCAGGCTGCTGCTATGGGCTTGGGCACAGCTCTTCCTGGTGGGGGGCCGGGCTGCGCTCAGGGCGGGTGGTGGCAGCATTTGGAGGGGGCTATGGGAGGGGCTGATGCCACCCCAAAATTTTCCGTAGCCTGCCCAGGCCCCCTTCCTGGTGCTATTCCAGCCCCAGCCCACAGCAGCCCATAGCCTGCCACATCCCACATGCACATGCCCTCCATGTCCTCCCAGGGTGTGTGCAGCAGTGGGAGTTGCCACCTGCCCCCCACCCCACACCTCCCAGATGAGCTGCTTGCAGCTCTGTCCCATGCTCCTGACCCAGCCCCAGGCCCAGCCCCAGCCTCACCCCCAACCCCACTCCCTCCCTCACTGTGGGGGCCTATGGGAGCAGTGCTATGGCCGGGGGGGGGGAGAGGGAACTGCAGTCATTTCAGAATTTGTGGTAGCCCCCACCCCCAACTGCCCTCCCAGCTCTGCCACTCACCCCGAACACAGCCTGCCCCAGCCCAGGCCCTGCCAGGAAGAGCCCAGTACGGCCCTGGCCTCAGCCCACCCTGCCCCGCACACAGATCTGGAGGCACATGCCCCAGACCTACAACATACTTACCAGCCAGACCCTGCTGCTCTCCACATGGCCAGGCTGCACTTCTGACTGCCTGCACACACGCAGAGTTCTGTGTACCCGCTAGGACCCTTTTAAGTACCCCTAGGGGTATGCAATCCTCCTGGTTGACAACTACTGGTCTAGCCTAAACTTCCTTTGCTGCAACTTAAAATCATTGCTCTTTGTTCTGTCATCTGCCACCATTGAGAACAGTCTAATTCCATCTTTTTTTGAACCCCCTCCTTCAGGTAGCTGAAGGCTACTATTAAAGCTCCTCTCAGTCCTCTTCTCTAGATCCCTTCTGTGGTGAGTCCTGTGTCTCACTTCCCCTGCCCTCCTGTTTGTTTTTCAGCTAACCAAACCAGCCTACCCCATCCCCTTGTGTGTGTCTCCCCTCCCCTGGCCCCAGCCCTTGGGTCCACTTTCAAGGGTCTCTCAACTGAGTCTGCTTTCAGTGGTGCATACTGAGGCACCTGCACCAGGAGTGCCCCCTAGGGTAACAGGGGGCACAACAGGTCCCCACTGGAGAGAGGGGTGCCCTCACCACTGGCACCTCTGGCACCCTAGTTGCAGCACCCAGTACCCCTGCAAGCTCAGGAGACCCTGCGCTTCAGCCACCAGTAGGGTTCCAGGGTGCTGGTGGGTAACAGGCAGAAGAGGGGAGGGAGCGGGATGCTCCTACCCCTGACCCCACCTCCATTGTAACCATCCCACCTCACCCTCCTCTCCTCCTCCCCCCAATCCCATGCCTCCCCATTGCCCTAAAGCTGATTCACCCAAGGATGACCCCATGGCTGAGTGGGTGCTGGTCCTCTTTGGGCAGTGCTCCATTGCCAAAGCAAAGCAGAAGGCCCAGGTGCAGCTCAGACACTCCAATATGGAGGAAGTCCCCCTCCAGCCCACCAAGAGGAGGGCAGAACTGAAAGAAATCCCTATCACCCCCTGAGTTGCACCAGACACCTGACCCCCAGGGAAAATTAGAAGAGCTGACTCCATGGAGGAGGATGTGGGAAAGCCATGCCATCCTGGAGAGGGACCCTTGGAGGAGACCCCCTACTCTGCCACCATGACTTGCCCCCCAACACTGTGAGCACCAGGACAGTGGCTTTGGCCACCCCTGGGTTGGGTCTGGCAGTAGGCTCCTCCCCCTCTGAACATCTGGGGAAGGTGGGAGTGCTGGGGCTCACCCCAGTAAACCCTGATGGGGAAGATCCCCCTCCCTAAGACTCCAGGGGGGTTAATGATGCCACCATGGTACCTGAGAGGTCTCCTCCAGCGCTTCCACAAAACACCCCAGAAACCATCCCACCCCTACCCTGTGGTCCTGACACAGTGGGGGTTGAAGCAGGGGCCTTCGAGAAACAAAACAACCCTGAGAGGGATCTTGCACAGACCCCTGCTGTATTCTGCCCTGCCACTCCCTGAGCTGACCTCACCCTTGCCCCAAGGGACTGCACCACTTCCTCTACCAGGCTCGGGGGAAACAGCAGACCATGTGGTGCAGATGGTGCTCCACCAGGACCCTGCCTCCACTGAAGTGGAAGAGGAGGAAACAGCCAATCCCTCAGCAGTCAGGTGAAGCCCACTGAACCACAGGGCCAGGAAGAGGATAACTGGGAGTCCATGGGCTCTGTGGAGCCCATAGATCTCTTGACCATAGCAGTCTCCAAGAAGGAGCTGCTTCAGTTCCTAGAGAGGGAGCGCTCACAGC